CCTCCGTGAGCCTCCTAGCAGACCTCACAGGCCACAGATCAGGGTGCTCAGCACCCTTTCCTGTCCTCACCCCTGCCCGTGTCCCCTCAGTGCTTCCTTCCCTCCCTGCCCCCACCAGCCAGCGAGCCCCAGACCCTGTCCACTGAGGACACCCCATGCTGCGCCTGGCGGGGCGCACACCAGCTGTTTCCGGCCACACCACAGGCACTCTGCACCCCTAGCCCTTTTTATTGATTGGAGACTGGGTCTCACTGAGTCACCACGGTGCCAACACTGGGCTCAGAGCCATGATCCCTCCGCCTCAGCCTCCCATGTAGCTGGGACTGTAGGTTGCGCCACTGGGTCTGGCTTGCAACTTTTTGTAATTGTTAAAAAATGTTGAACTACAGAAAAAAATGAAAAATGACGAATGCCCCTGAATCCGTCACTTAGACCCAGTCATCGATGTCTGCCCACGTCCGCCTGAAGGTCTGTCCTTTTGCCTGCATCATTTCTGAGAAATAGACGCTGGGCACACTAACATCTGTGTCTTATAAAATCATGGTATTTTCTTATGTAACCAAAGAAAATGAATGAAAACTTATTAGTATAAAATACCAAATGCATGCTTAAATTCTCCCAGGACCCCAAGTCTCTCTCTCATATCTTTGGTTCCTTCACCTGGTCCAGGAGAAGCTGCAGCGCAGATCACAGGTCTGCTGCTCGTCCTGGGACCCGGCACCGGCCCTGCAAGCCACGCACCTGCCACGCCGGCTCTGTGGCGGCTGAGTCCTCTGCCGCTGACTGCCGCTGGGTTCTCCTTTGTGCTCTTAACGTGCTCCGGGCATATGATGGCCCCTCTGAGTATGAACTAGAATGCGTCTTCCTGGATCTGGGCTGGCAACTGCTGATGCGAATGCTTTATGAACAATGTGTGTGTTTGAAAGTAACCTGAAATGCGTCTTGGTCCGCTTGTCTCGTGTTTCAGAGGCCCATCGAGCTTGCTGAGGATCCCAAGTAAGCACAGCTTAGCGAAGGGCCCAGGCCCGGGTCCGCCCAGGGCTTCTCCTGGGACTGACTGCCTGGGACCCACATGGTGCTGGCGTGCACAACCCCAGGGTCCACTTGCTCCGCCTGTCATGCTCTTGGTCCACCGCACAGCGACGTCATGAAACCTTAGCACTTGTTTTTTTCTTTTTTTCTTCTATTAGAGTGTTTTTGAGAGAGGGTATGTCTCAGTTACATTTCTCTCATTGCTGGGACAAAATACCTGACGCTCAGAATTAAGAAAGGAAAGGTTTATTTAGCTCCTAGTTAGCAGAGCTTTCAATGCACACTTGCTGGCTCCAAGAGTGGCATGTGGCAGAGGACAGCCGTTCATGGCAGTGGACAGATAGCAAAGAGCCAAGGGCAAAGGGAGGGGCAGCGGTGAGGGCTGCCAGCAAGCCTCCGCCCCCTCCTTACATCTGTGCGTAGAGCGTCTGCCCTGGCCAGTGTAGCACCTGCACCCATAATTCCCCCCCACTGGATTGTGAATTAGTCACAAGCTCTAGAAGCCACCCCAGTGACTGCGTGAGGCTTTGAGGGGGCAACTAGACACAAACTGTAACAGGGTCTCACTCCTTAGTCCAGGCTGGCCCGGAACTCCCCACGATCCTTGTGCCTAGCCTCCCAAGTGCCGGGATTACAGGTGTACACCCCGGGTCCAGCGCTTTTTCTTTTTGAAGTGATACTGAAAAGCACCCAACCTGCCTTGTCACCCGCTGAGTGCGTCTGTCGCCCCTCTGCCCTCCTGCCCGACAGCGTCCACACCGTGACTGTGCCATCAGTTTATCACCTGTGTGGTACTTGGGTGAAGGGGCCATAGTCGCCTGTGCAGTGTCACCAGGTCACCAGCAGGGTCCTGAGCTCATCTACACCTGGCTCCCAGCCCTGGGATTCACGCCTCGTTCTCGTTTCAGGAGCCAGTGTGGGACCACCCACAACACCAGTCCTCTTCCTGACTGGAGCAGTGGACACAGAAACGAACTTGGATGGCGAAGAAGAACAAGTTGGGGAGGCCGTGGACATCTGTGAGCAGGATGGCGTCCGAGCCCCGGGGAGCCTGGGTAGGCCGGCGCGGGTGCCGGGAGCGCCTGGGCTTTCTCGACTGCTAGTCAGTCTTTCCTGTCTGGTTAATACAGTGTGAGTAATCTCAGGGGCAGCTCAGAGATTTAAAATGTGGTATTCTTTTGTTTCTGTTTTTTTGATTTTTTTTAAGTAAGTATATTTTTCTGAGTAGCCTTTTGGAAAAAAAGTGACAAATATAGCTTCTAGTCATCTGTGACTTTCCTAACTTGAAATTATTAAAAATCTCCTTACTGGAAGAGAATCGACTATGACTAATGCAGAGCTCGGCACACCTGGCCTCTCCTTTGGCCGGCTTCTGCACGTCCGCCCCAGTCACCACGCTCGTGCAGCTTCCGGTCTCTCAGAGCCGGCACCACAAATGTCCTCGCACCGGTGGTGCTGCTGAGTCTCTGAAGGACGAGGCATTCCGCAAGTCCGCTTCTTCCAGAGTGAGCGCCTCATCCCACAGTGTGAGGAAGGCAGCGCGGATGCAGGGAGAAGGGCGGGGCACTCTCAGCCCTGTGGTGCTTCTCAGTGAAGTCTTCGATACGACTCACCGTATGAGAAGCATTACGTTTCTGGATGGCCCTTTTCCCACTGGCTAGCCATGTCTGTGTGTCAGTGCTGGGCTCCAAGTTATTCAGCGGAACAGCAGGTGGATTATTTTTACTTTCAACTTCAGTAGTCTTTGTTTTAGAAACAGTTTCGGGGTTGCACTTCCCGGCTTGTGCCTGGCCCTGAGAACGGCTGGCAGGCAGGCTCCGCGGGTGTCTTCACCTTTAGCATCCACCTCCTCGCTGTCAGAAGTCCCCTGTAATTCTGAAGGTAACGCCCCCTTTTTGATGGAGTTTAGAAATTGCTGACTTGCATCGTCAGAATAACTTCTGAACTTGTTATTGGCTGTAAACCCATTTTCCACAATTCTATATTTGCATCTGCCTCTTTCTTCTGTTCAGTAGGAGATAAGCACTTAGCTCCAGCCTTCTGAGCTTCCTCAGAAAGCCTGTCAGCAAAAGACGCACAAGCCCTTGTCGATTATCACTAGATCCTGTTTCACAAACCGCCTTCTTTTATACTTTCAAGGTTATCTACTTCCGTTCTCTCTGTTTCCTTCTGCTTTGTGACCCTGTCATCTGGTGAGTGACAGTTGAGCAGTTACCCCATTTTTGTGTTTCAAGACAGGGTCTTGCTACATAGCTCAGACTGAAATTTGCCATGTAGCCCAGGCTGGTCTTGAACTTGTGATCCTCCTGCTTCTGTCCCCCAAGTGCTAGGATTGCAGGCATGTGCCACAGCATGCAGGTTAAAAGAGGATTCTCTTAAGATAAAAATCCTAACTCTTGTGGAAGTCAGGGACCAAGCATACCCTTGCTTAGTGTGTGTTTGTGTTAGTTTTGAGTATAATGTATTAGCACACAATGGTGGTTTTTACCTCATTCTTAGCATTGTTAAGAGCTGCATGCTTCCCTGCGTGTGTTTCCCGATGTCTCTGTAGCCGTAGGTGCAGCTGTCTGTATTCATAGAATGGTGTTTCCTTCTCATGACAAAAGCTAACTGTTCACACATTTTTTGTTGTGTCAGCGTGCCACACACGTAGGTAGTTTGCTCTGTGACTTTGTCCTTCCACATGACCCACCCCTGTGCCGCCTGTGCCTGCCCAGAAGGCTGGCCCTGGGGAGGGCCCTGGGATTCCGCAGCCTGCCTCTTCGACCCTGTGGGTTGTTGTAGCTCAGGTGAGTCAGGCTGGCTTCCTGCGAGCAGCTGGGCACGCCGCGCATCTCCTGATCATAGGCGTTGTCTCCACACTCTCCGCCCATGTCTTTGGTCAGGCGCATGGCTATGAAACGAGCTTTCTTTTTGCGCCATGAAATCACCCGGCAGCCTAGTAGCTGCTGAGAGTGAGCGTCCTTCCTCCCCTGGAGCCTTTGCGCTGCTTTGGGTCTTACAGCGGTGGCTGTGGTATAGGCGGGGGCAGAAGCATCAGTACACCCAGCTTCTGTGTGTGTGAGGACATTTGGATCCAGCGGACACCGTGGCTTTGGCTTAGGTCCCTTTAGCGCATAGAAGCTGCTGCCTGAGCACGTGAGATGCGCGATTAAGGACGGCACAAGCCCAGGTATGCAGGCCCAGCTGTGCAGGCTCAGGTGCTTTTGCTGTTTTCCTTCAGTTGGTCACCTTGAGTGCCTCAGCGTGTTGGCTCCTGTGGTCCCGAGGTGCCCTCCGCGGACCCAGCACTCCCCCGCTTAGCATGCTTGGTCCTGGTTCTGCTGTGAGCCTGGCCCATTGCCCTTAGTGACTGGTGTCCTGGCCTTCAGAGAATTCAGGCCACATGTGTCCAGGCCTGGCTGTGGCTCAGGGCTAACTCAGCCAGTTCTGTGTCACCCTGGTCGCCGGCTGCCTCGGTCGGCTGAGTGCCCATCTAATGACAGTCGAGAAAAGGTGGACATCGTTTCGTTTTCTGCCGCTGGTTCTCGAGATGTCATTCAGACACACCCGCACCAGAGTCCCAGCCACAGTCTTGGTCAGGCGCAATCTGACTTGGCTCTAGACAGGACCTTACTCGCCTAACAGTGACATCACAGCAAGACAACCTCAGAAGCAGGAGTGACAAGAGGCTGGGGTGAGGCCGAAGTTCCTCAGTACCAAGGCTCATGCGGCTTGGTCGAAGCTGGCCTCAGCCACAACCTCTGCCTGTGTGGGGTCTAGGGTGCTGTCCACAGTCCCTGGAGGCATAAAGATGCCTAGAGGAAACTTCCCCATGGGGCTGCAAAGAGATTAACAGTGAATTAGATCCTGAGGCCGGGGATATAGCTCAGTGGCGTAAGCACCAGCCTGGCAAATGCAAGGTCCTGAGTTCAAGCTTTGGCACTGAAAAAAAAAAAAAAAATCCTTAAATTAGATGTGGGGCTAATAGCTACGCCAGATGCGTGTTACTGTCACAGCAGCGTCTGTATTTACGCCTAAGCTGTCTGCAGCTCAGGTGTCACGCCTGGTGTCATTTCCCCCTTCCCTCCCCACAGAGGCCCTGTGGCTGTGCCTGTGTGTGGTGGTCTTGTTTGCCTTGGCCTTGTGAGTCGCCTCTCGGATTGACCTTCCCCTTTGTCCTGTGACTGCTTTTTGGCAGATGCAGTGGTGATGCGTGTCCCCCAGTTGTGTCAACATTCTCTTTTTCTGTCTAGAACGAGCCTCAGACTCTCCAGAAAATGAGCTGAAGTCTCGGTGGGAGAGCCTGCTGGGCCCCGACTACGAGGTCATGGTAAGCACGAGCCCCTGACAAAGCAGCTGGCCCCCCTCCCCAGGAAGCTTGGCCCTGCAGGGCAGAGACGAGCCAAGCGGAGCTGCCGGCCGGCCTGCCTATTTCCCTCTGGCCTTTCTTCTCTAGTGGGTCAATCGATTGATGCTTTGAACAGTTAAATCGTAAGAACAATTACGAAGCACACACGAGCTTCAGCTACAATCATCAGACACGGCTTGTTGGACCCATTTAGGTCGACTGTGGACTGCCAAGTGCCAGAGAGAGAGGGCTCCCAGATCTGTGGCCTAAGATTGCTGGCGTCTTTATGATTGCTTTTATGATCTGTTTGTTTTATTGTGCACTGAAAGGGCTGTGGATATTAGTCCTATGTTTCACAAAGAATCTTACAGTTTTATGAGAAAAATGAAAGAATGATTATCAAATGTATTTGAAGAGCAGGAAGCCATTTAGCTGAGGCGCAGGTTTATGGTGCCAGGGGCCGTTCGACTTCCTTCCGCCCTAACCTTCCCGTGAGGGACCACTTGGGTTCCTCGCATGTGCCTCGAGAAAGCCAGAATGCAAAGTCCTGACAGCATAAGTGTGCCAGTAGTTAGATGTTCCCCCAGTTCCCTTTGTCACCCACGTGTTCTGACATGTGTTTGTCATTAGTGGCAAGCGTCACTGTCTGGAAAGTGGGAGAGTTTTCTGGCCCTGGGGTCGGAGTGCCCAGCCGGTCTGACCTGTGCTCGGGGCATTTCCAGCATCACCATAGACCCACTGCGCGGCTCCTGCTTTCTGTTGCTGCTCGTTCTGTCCTTGAATGCCATTTCTCAACACTGCTGCTGCTGTGCCTCACCCTGGACACCTAGCAAATGGCCCCACTGCTGCCCTTATGGGTTTATCTCTCTAGGCTGCTCAGGCTGGCCTTGAACTCAACTACTGCACAGTCCAGAGTGGCCTTGAGCTCACAGCGATCCTCCTGCCTCAGCCTCCTGAGTGCTGGGATTACACTTCATGGTTTTGATAGTCCAGGAAATGTAGTTAGTTCACCACCAGGCTTTTCTTTGCTGAAGCTGTCCTCCACAGAACTATCTTCACAGGCTTATTTGTCACATGGTGAGGTAACAGCAGGGGAGCAGGAAAGAGGAGGTGGGATGAGTTTTAGAGGATGTGTGGCCACTGCTGCCCCGAGGGGGCTGAGCTCACCGGATCCAGAGGCCACAGTGTTCCAGCTCACTGGGCTTTCCTGACAGCAAATTTTGCTTTAAGACTTGAATTTGAAGGGTGGGGAGATGGCTCAGTGGAATAAGCGCTTCCCTGGCAAACGCAAGGGCCTGAGTTCAATCCCAGGTTCCACCAAAAAAAAAAAAAAAAGGCTTGAGTTGGACAGTAGAGGGCCGGCCGCTCTTGCTTTTGTCTGGAGTAAGATGTTGGTGGATCCAATTTCATGGAGGTTGCACAAGCTTTCAGGTCTGGATTTCTGCAGGGACTCCAGTCAGCTCTCTGCGTCTGCCGGCCTTGAGTGTGTACTCCGAAGGCCCAGGTTCAGCCTGATAGCAAAGGCTGACGGCACACAGACATTCCTGCCACCCCTCGCACGGCACAGTGCCCTTCCCTGTGGCACTGCCGCATGTTAGGTGTCTGCGGTAACCTGGGTGGGATGGGAGCATGGGGGGCGCGCGTAGGACGCACGCACGCACACACGCACGCATGTACACATGCAGGCATGCACACATACACACACGCACGCACACACGCACGCATGTACACATGCAGGCATGCACACATACACACACGCACGCATGCACACGCACGCATGCACACACGCACGCGCGCATGCCCTTCCTGCCGGCGAGCTGGTACCTGTGGGGCCCTGACGCCGTCCCAGGGACCGTAAGTACTACTTTCGGATGATTCACGGGGAAGACTTGATGCGGAGAACTGGAGAAACGCAGATGCCCTCCGAGCTTCACTATCCAGCCTGCGTTTGCCGACCTCGGAACTGCGGGGCGGGCGCCCAGTGCGCGGGCGTCGCGGGCCTCCCGGGACCCCAGCAGCGCGGGGACGCGCCCCAGACGGCACTTTCTGTGTCTAGGTCGCCACCCTGCACCCCCAGATTGTGGACGACGCCGAGCTGCAGAAGTACTCCAAGGTAAGCGCTGCTTAAACATGCCCTCAGCTTTCCGAAGTTGGGAAGCACACTCAGGAGTCTGCGTGAGCGCTGTGACCGCCAGCCCCGGCCGGGGCGGGGCACGCGCAGGCGACGCCTGCTCCGTCACGCGAGCCAGCCGGGGACAGACCCCGAGCGCTCCGGGCAGGACCGCGGCCTCCGTGTCTAAGCCTCGCCAGGCCTCGGCTCTAACGCCCGAGTGCGGGAAGGCCGCCTCTGCCCGGCAGCGGAGGTACGCGACAGCCCGCCAAGAGGCCTGGGAGCCTTCGGAGGCGTCAGCTGGCGATCAGACCCCGAGCCCGGGCTTGCGGCCCAGCGGCCCCAGGCCCCGAGGGATTGAGGACTCGCCCGAGCCTGCCCTCCTGCTCGGAGTCAGCGTGCGGTTTCAGTGCCGGCCTCGTCGCACGCTGACCGGAGCCCCTGCACCGTTTCCTCCTTTGGGTATTAGTGAAGACTTTCTCCTCTGTCCTCGCCTGCATCCTCACCACCGTTCGCAGGTTTGGATTTCAGAAGCAGCTTCTTGCCTCCTCAGCTTGTGGGCGCGTTGAGTGTTCCGTTGGCCACTCACTGCCCCCGCGGGTGGCCAGGGCAGGGCAAGAAGGCGGCCTGGGGTGGCAGGGATGCGGGCGGCGTTCCGGTGCAGGCTGAGCCAGAGGCTGATCACCAGGGCCTGGGAAAGGCACTTCAGCTTTGTTTGATTGAAAAGGGGAATATTCCCACCCTCATCAAGCATGGGCTGAGCAGCCTGAATAAATAAGTAAAATAAAATAAAAGGGGCATGTGAGTAGATTTTCACCTGCCCCATAGATCGACACAGGAATTACATAGAAGTGCCTAGGATACTTGTCAGTACACTGTAAGCTATTGTCATTATTTTGTTATCATTAGTACAACAGTGGTGCTTTTCCCTAAAATTATTCTTGAATTTATCCTGAATTCTGAGATAGTAGCTCTTTTCTATTTAACTACATTTTGCTGAATTTCTGTGCCTAATCTTCTGCTTGACCCCACCTTATTTTTCTGTTCTAGCTTTTCCATCTTAGATTATAGTTCTCAGGTGAAGTTCTCATTGTAAAAAACTGAATTTGTCATCTTTTGCTCTGATGCTTCGGCATTCTAATCATGGCTTCTCAGGATTAAATCCTGGGTGAACTTTGACCTCCCCTCCTGTCAAGACCTGACTGAACCCCCAGTGTCGTGGCTTCAGCTGCACATGGCTTCTGCAGTTGCTTCTTTCTCAGATCTTGGGGGGCACGACTCAGGAGTAGGCATGGAGCAGCCAGGGGCCAGGGCTTTGTGCCCAAGCTGTGGCTCTGCTGAGTCTGGGCTCTTTGTTCCAGAGAGAAGTTGTCCCCCATCTCTTCCTTTTACTAAATGGTGCCAGTTTTCCCAGCGCCATCTAGTAAAGAGGCTTCCAGTGAGCATGTGTGTCCTCTCTGGAAGATGAGGCGGCTGAGAGTGTTCAGCGCTGTGCCTCCAGGTGCGTCTGCTTCTTCTAATCCGCTCCTCTGATCCTCAGGTCGGCTTGCTGTGGCCAGTACCGTGCTGATTTTGTCACAGGAGCTTTGTAGCATGATTTCGAGTCAGGTGTTGTCATGCCCTGCACTGCCTGTTTGGCCAAGATTGCCTTTTGTATTATAGGTCTTTTCTGGTTCTAAATGAATTTTAGGAGTTTTCTCTAATTCTGTGGGATATACTATTGAAATTTTGATCGGGACTACACTAAATCTATATAACAGTTTTGCACATGTGACCATTTTCACTGTGTTGGTTTTTCCTGCCCAAGGGATATCTTTCCAATTTCTGGTATCTTCTTTCTTCTTTTTCAGACTACTGTAGTTTACAGTAAAGATCTACTACTTTTTTGTTAGGTTGATTCCGAGGCATTTCATTTTTTGTATGATAAAATTTTTTAAACAATCATTTATGTATGTATGTATGTATGGATGGATGGATGGATGGATTGATTGATTGACTGATTTGGTATAGGGTCTCACTACACAGCTCAGACTTGTAGCAATCTTCCTGTCTCAGCCTCCCCAGTGCTGTGATTGCAGGCATGAGCCATCAGGCCCAGTTTTGGAGACTGCCGTGGCACACCCAGAACTCTGGAGCAGACGTGGCTTGTGGTCCAGGGATGGAATCCGGGTCCTTGCGCTTGCCAGGCAGGCACTTAGACCACTGATCTGTCTCCTTGTCTTGTATGCAGGTTTTAGGGGCTGGGGGCTTGACCTTTTTGAGACAGGGTTTCGCTGTGGTTCAGGCTGGTCTTGGACTCACTTTGTAGTCCAGGCAGGCCTTAAGCTCACAGTGATCCTCCTGCCTCAGCCTCCTTAGTGCTGGAATTACAAATGTGTGCCACCACACCAGCTTGGATGCTGTTGTGAATGGTATTGTTTCCCTGATTTCTCTCTGTGATTTTTAAAATTTTCGTACAGAAAGGCTATTGATTTTTTTTTTTTTTTTTTTTTTTTTTCAGAACCAGGGATTGAACTCAGATCCTTGAGTTTGCCAGTCAAGCGCTTATCCTACTGAGCCATCTCCCCAGCCCCAGGCTATTGATTTTTGAGTGTTAACTTTGTGTACACTGCAGAATTTGCTTATTTGGTGGAGACTGTGGGGTCTTCAGACATGTGCAAATAATGGTAATTGAACTTCTTCCTTTCCTATCCCTATTTTTATTTCTTTCCCTCGTCTAACTGCTCTGGCCAGTGTTTCCAGAACTATATTGAACAGGAGTAGTCATAGTGGGCATCCTTGTCTTGTTCCTGATTTTAGAGTAAAAAGTTTTGGGTTTTGTCTGTTTATTATGATCTCGGTATTGTTTTGTTATAGATGGGCTATATCAGATTGAGATAAAGACCATATATTCCAATTTTTTATAAGGTTTTTTATCCGTGAATGGGTGCTGGACTTTGACAGATGCTTTTCTGCACCTGCTGAGATGGTCATATGACTTTTGCCGTTGACTCTGTTAATGTGTGTATTACGTTCATTGCTTTGCGTCTGTTGAGCCCTCCCTACGTGTCTGGGAAGAGCCCGCCCTAGTCATGGTGCGTTGGCTTCTTGATGATCAGCGGCATTCTGTTTGCAGCATATTACTTAGGATTTTTGCGTGCGTGTTCATTTGGAGATTGGCTTGTAGGTTTTTTTGTTGCTTGGATCCTTCTCTGGTGTTGGTGTTGGGGTAATACTTCCCTCCAGAAGGAGTGGCACTAGTTCTCTGAATTCCTTGTGGAGATCAGCCATGAATTCATCAGAACCTGGGCTTTTTGTTGGTGGTAGTGGTAGGTTTTGAGTTACATCTTCAATTTCATTGACTGGTTTTGGTTTGTTTAGACTTTTTATATATTTTTCATTCAGCTTTGATAATGTAAATGTGTCTAGGAATCTGTCCATTTTATTAGAATACAGTTTCCATCTAATTATAATGCAATTTCTCAAGGGAGATTTAGATGATCTTCTGGATTCCTGCAGGTCTGTTGTGATTCCACCCTTTTCATTCCTAATTGCATGTATTTGACTTTCGTTGTTGTTGTTGTTGTTGTTAAGGTTGGCTATGGGTTTATCAATTTTATTTAATTTTTCAAAGAACTCATTCTTCAGTTCATTGATTTCTTTGTACCAATTTTTAGTCTCAGTTGCATTAATTTCAATTCTGATCTTTGTAATTTACTCCCTCATACAAGCTTGGGTTTGATTTGTTCGTTTTCTAGAAATTGGAGGTTCAGCATTAGGTTATTTCAGCTTACTCTTCCCTTCTGATATGCGGGTTCACTGCTATAAATGTCCCTTGTAGGATTTCTTTCATTGCATCCCATATAAGTTCCAACATGTATTCGCATTATTTAATTGTAGAAACTGTCTCATTTCTTGCCTGACTCATCTGTGACCCACTGGTTGTTCAGCAGGGCGTTATTTGATTCCCACGTGTTTATGAAGTTCATGTAGTTTCTTTTGTCCGTGAGATCTCATGTCATTGCTCTGTGGATTGATGATATTGCCGCTGTAAGCAGAAACACTGAAATGACACTCAGGACTTGGAAGCACATTGTTTTACTGGGATCATTCTCTAAATATCAGGCCCTGATCTCTGGTGGTCTACAGGGATAGACTTGCTTATATGGGATAAACAGAGAAAGTACAGAGGCAGAATGTCAGCTGGAGATTTGTTCTTACGTTGTGCCTCACGGTGACCACTGCGTATCACAGTGAGCAGCCATTTATAAGAAACAAAAGGAAGAGGAACTGGAACTGAAACTGTTACCAGGGCAGCTAACAACCTGAAGTATACCGGCTGGAGGGGGTTGCATCCTCTGCTACAAGGTGCGCGGGATAATTTTAGTCCCTTACGTTACTTAAGCGTGTTCTATGAGCTAGCATGTGGGCTGTTTTTGAGAACATCCCATGTACAGCTGAGAAGACTGTATATTCTGATGCGGGGTGGAACACTCTGTAGATGTCTACTAAGTCCATTTGTCCGTTAGTTTGGTTTAGTTCTGACGGCTAGTTGATCTATTTGTGACAGTGGGATATTGAGGTCCCCTGTTACAATTGTATTAGTGCTTATTTGATTTTTCATGTTCATTAATAGTTATTTTCTGTAGTTAGGTGTGCAGGTTGAGGTGCTTGTATCTTTATGAGTGTTAATTCTACCTCTTGGATTTTTCCTTTTATAAGGATATAGTGACCTTCTTTGTCTCAATCAGTCTTGACTTGAAATTCTCTTTGTCTGCAAATAGAATAGCAGCCCCTCCTTTTTTCTGGGTTCTTGTCATATGGAATATCGTTTTCCACCCTTTCGTTTCCAGTACATAAATTTCTTTCTAGATTAAGTGTGTTTCTTACATGCAGCAAGCCGTCTGTCCTTTTGGTTGGTGAACTGAGACCGTTAGCCCTGATGGTTGTAGCCGAGAGCCGTTGACTCATCCTTCACACTGTGCTCCTGTTATTGGATCCCTTTTTCCCCTCTGTTTATTTACCTTGCCTGGTGGATCCATTCTTTTGGGGCTCATGGGTTTATAGCTCTTATTAATCTCTTGTTTGTTTTGGCGGAACTGAGGATTGAACTCAGGCCCTTGTGCTTGCCCAGCAAGCGCTTATCCTACTGAGCCATCTCCCCGGCTCTTACCTCTTTCTAGAATGCCATTCAGACATTTTGGAGTGCTGATTTTGTGGTCATGAATTCTCCAGGTGTTCTTTGGAGAACTAGGTTTGTGCTTATATAATGAAATCTAAAACGAGCTAGAAAATTTTATACAATAAGTATGCCCCGAACATGGCAATTTTACCTTCAGGGAGAAAATATGAAAAGCATGAGGGGGGAAAAATAGAGAAATAGAAGAATGGGTTAGAAGCAAAATTAGAAGACAGAAGAAGATTACTGACTTTGACACACTGGTGAAGAGAGAAGGAAGAAATAAAAATAAGAACAGAGCAGAATAAATAGAACAAAAAGCTAGAAACAGAGTTCACAGTTATATGAAAACAAGAACAATTGAGAAAATAGGAACCCCCACCCAAACAACCAAAAAAGAAAAGAAGAAAAACATGTCTCCCTTAAGGCATGTCTCTACTGTCACTGGTAGACCAAATTGGCACAGAGTCCAGATCGTGCTGACTGATCCTAGCAAGCCAGTCGCAGCTTTACAGTGGGTGGGGCCGTCCCAGCATGCCCACATCTTTGGTTCCATGGAGGCCAGGCTGGTTTCTGGCGTGAGGCTCTAGCCCGACCTGTTCGGCCTGCAGCCTCTGTGCCTCCTGCTGCTGTGAGCACCATCCCCTGACACTGGGGGCCACTGGTCAGGGCCCACCTGCATCTGCTCGGGGTCCTGTGCTCACGGCCTCTCTCCAAGATGGTGCCTGCCGGCTGCGCTCTGCTGGGGACGTCTGAACCCGAATGACTCACCAGCCGCTGCAGGCCAGTGCATCCACCCCTCCGTTCCACTGTGTTTAGCTGTGGAGGATTCTAGTGTCGCCAGTAGTTCCCGTGCCTCTGCAGGTCCGAGCTGTCCCTCCCCTGCCACAAGCTGGGTCTCAGGGAAAAAGCGCCTCTTGCTGCCGCCTCCTCCCTCCAGTCCCTCTCTTCACGCCCCGTGGGCTTCAGTTCTTGCTTCAGATCCCCTCCTGGCTCTGGGGTCCCACTTCCCTTTTCCTTCTCTTCCTCACGTTGCTGTGTTCCAGCATCCGCACACAAAATCTTGGAAAAGCCATTTTTGCGCTGTTTACCACTTTACCATCTTCTGGGAAAAATCTGTAATTTTTTTTTTTTTTTTTTTTTTTTTTTTTTTTTTTTTTT